TGCAGATGAGGAAAATTACTACTAAAAATAATCCATAATCCCATCATCCAGTAGTAACACCGGTAACATTTTGATACATACTGGTATATATTCAGATTTTTAAAACATACAATGGATATTGTTTTAATGCAGATTTATAATATACATTTTTAATCCTTATACTAAAGCACAATCACATACATTTAAGATGATGAGAATAATCATTCTTCAGAACTGTCAGTGGAACTGTTTTAGCGGAACATAGATAGGTATCACCGTTTACTCAACCTTCCTTCTCGTATTGGACTTTATAAACATGCTTCACTACAGATCCCACAGCTAAATCCTGGCCAACATCCTTGATTACTTAGGATAGATCTGAAAAGAGAGACTCATTAAATCAAAAAATAAACACATTTTGTGAGGTTTGACTGACAACTTTTGGAAAGTCAACTTGTCTCTGCTATTTCCCAGTCCCTCTGTTTCCATAATCTCTCCCCCCACTTTTTTCCTCTCTCTGAAATAAATTTTTTAAAAAATTTTAAAGAAATAATTGTGATAAATAAGAGATACACAGAAATTCTTATTTCTCTCAAGAAATAAAAACATTTGAAGCAATAGTAGCAGGGGTTGAATATAAAAAGATTAAGATGGGAGATGTAATAGTAGTAATACTATTAACAGAAAATCTAATCTTAAGTAAGGATTTGAGGGACAGAAGAGAGTTGAGCCCTTTATTTGGTGGGATTGATGCTTGTGGTTGATAATTCATCTCAGAGCGATGTTTCCCTGTCACATAGCAGTTTCTATGCCAATGCTGGGACCATCCAAAAGCTGTGCTTATTCAGCCACAGGCAGGTGATGACATTGCCACACCTTTCCAACATAGAATTATGTGCATGGCAACTCTATGCAGAATACATCTTCATTTTAAAAGTTCTACTAAATTTATTGGGGTGACATTGGTTAATAGGGTCATATAGGTTTCATATACACATTTATATGATATGTGATCTGTATATTGCCCTGTGTGTTCACCACCCAGTCAAATCCCCATTTATTGTATAAAATTTTATAAAATTCTGACACATTTTATGAGAGGAGACAATAATTCCAGTGAGAATTTTTTCCTTTGTACATAATTTTAAACAGCACATTGATGGTTGAAAATTCTGGCCAAGTCAGCAGAGGGCGCTGTGCAGGTGCAGCCAGAAGTGGAGCTTCTGCAGCAGGGCTGAGCACCCCCTCATCCCTGAAGGTTACGGAAACCCGTGAGACCCCAAGGTGCTGCACCCAGCCTCTTCCATTGCCAGGGAAGGAGCTGACTTGTGATCCTTCCCTATTACATGGGTTTGGGGGAGGTGGGGAAGGAGTTTGGTAGTGAGTCTGGGTCACAGGTTGAGGTTGCTAAGGTATGTGTGAGGGAGGGGAGAGGTCAGATCTTAGGGAATAGTGTAAAGTTAGGAGCATCCTGCAGGACTTCTTCCTTCATGGGCCACCACTTTGGGCCAGGGGTTAAGGAAAGCCAGTCAGAGGGGACTGGGAGACCAAGTTTGAGGACAAGGGCCAATGCACCTGTTTTGGCTAGTTTAGAGGATTGGCCAAAGCAGGTACGTTTTCGGACCTTTCATTTAAGACATGAACTTGAGATTGAGAAATGTTTCTTCTCAATCTGCCCCTGAGCCCCTGGGACAGAGCAGATCCTTGGACAGACAGAGAAGCCTTGGAGCCTGGGTGTGGTTTCCCAGGAGTAAGGACCAGGACCTAAGAGAGGCCCATTTTCAAAAGTGTCACAATCGCCCTGACCAGTTTGGCTCAATGGATAGAGAGTTGGCCTGCGGACTGAGGGTCCCAGGTTCGATTCCGGTCAAGGGCATGTACCTGGGTTGCGGGCACATCCCCAGTAGGGGGTGTGCAGGAGGCAGCTAATCGATGCTTCTCTCTCATCGATGTTTCTAACTCTCTATCCCTCTCCCTTCCTCTCTGTAAAAAAAATCAATAATATATATATATATATTTTAAATATATTTTAAAAAACAATAAAAATTGATTTTAAATATATTTAAAAATCAATAAAAATATATTTAAAAATATATATATATATTTTATTGATTTTTTTACAGAGAGGAAGGGAGAGGGATAGAGAGTTAGAAACATCGATGAGAGAGAAACATCGATCAGCTGCCTCCTGCACACCCCCTACTGGGGATGTGCCCGCAACCAAGGTACATGCCCTTGACCGGAATCGAACCCGGGACCCTTGAGTCCGCAGGCCGACGCTCTATCCACTGAGCCAAACCGGTTTCGGCAAAATATATTTTTTTAAAAAGTGTCACAATCACGCTTTTTAGTCACAGAAGAGAAAGTTTTCCAAGCCTTAAAAGAGAAGAAAAATAAAATGGTATCCAAGGCCTCAAGTCTCTAAATGTGACACTTAAACATTTGAAAACTAACTTGAGTGTGCAGACAGGGCGGAAGGACCAGCATGTTCAATTTCTCAACACTTTCTAGGAGGGAGGAGGAAAAGTACCTCAGCTTTTGTGTGAAAACTGAAAAAGCTACAAACTGAATGTGTAGATTCTGTGGCACCTGCAGCCAGGTCAGATTCTCCAGGCTGCAGAATGGGACAGAGTTCGTGTGTAGAATGTTTATTAGAGAGTGCCCTTCGGTCAGACACCCGTGGAAGGGAAGGAGAGAACTGAGATTGGACAGGTTGGATAGGTTGCCTGCGAGGCTTCCAAAGGGAGCTCAGGGGCTGCAGACCTACCTCTCTGGACCTGGGAGGGCACCTGCAGGCAACCCTCCCAGCAGCAGGGGCATCTTGAAGGTGGATCTGGGCAGCACATCTGTGTCCATCATAACGCTTTTCCTGGCCACTTACACTATGTGAGCCCTGAAGTCCTCACTCGCCGCTTCTCCCCTCATTTCTGCTGGCTGGCATGATCGGATTGGGGAGCAAGCTTTGGGGAGGTGAAGATCCCCCTATCACATGCTATGGTAATTGTATCAGGATAAACACATGAATTTGACTGAGTTACGAAGCAGAATACAACTTTTCTAAAATATGCATGGAATTTGGTCAACCATAATCGAGGAAAGACAATTATCTTTCTATACTTAAGAGAAAATACTACAAAATTAATATCAATGAAGAGGCCAAGTATGCAATAAAAAATATGAACTAAAATGGCATGCTAGGAGGTTAAAAATATGTTTAATGTCCATACTACCCAAAGCAATCTATAGATTCAATTTAATCTCCATTAAAATACCAATGGCATATTTCAAAGATCTAGAACAAACTCTCCAAATATTCATCTGGAATAAAAAAAGACCCTGAATAGCTGCAGCAATCTTGAGAAGAAGAACAAAGTTGGAGGGATCACAGTACCAGCTATCAAGCTATATTATAAAGCCACTATCCTCAAAACTGCCTGGTACTGGCACAAGAACAGACATATAGACCAATAGAACTGAACAGAGAACCCAGAAATCTACCCAAGCCATTATGCTCAATTAATATTTGACAAAGGAGGCAAGAGCATACAATGAAGTCAAGATAGTCTCTTCAATAAATGGTTTTGGGAAAATTGGACAGATACATTCAAAAAAATGAAACTAGACCACCAACTTACACCATACACAAACATAAACTCAAAATGGATAAAGGACTTAAACTAAGACGGGAAACCATAAAAATCTTAGAAGAATTCATAGGCAGCAAAATATCAGACATATGTCATAGCAATATCTTTACTGAAACAGCTCCTAGGACAATGGAAACTAGGAGAAAATGAACAAATGGGACTACATCAAAATAAAAAGCTTCTGCACAGCAAAAGAAACCATCAACAAAACAACAAGAAAGCCCACTGCTTGGGAGAACATACTTGCCAATGTTATCTCCAATAAGGGTTTAATCTCCAAAATTTACAAGGAACTCATCCAACTTAACAAAAGGAAGATAAATAATCCAATCAAAAATGGGCAAAGGCCCTAAATAGACACTTTTCGAAATAGGGCATACAGAAGACCAAGAGACATATGAAAACATGCTCAAAGTCACTAATCATCCGAGAGATGCAAATCAAAACAACAATGAGGTACCACCTCACACCTGTCAGAATGGCTGTCATCAACAAACGACACGTGCTGGAGAGGATGTGGAGAAAAGGGAACCCTCATGCACTGCTTGAGAATGCGGACTGGTGCAGCCACTGTGGAAGACAGTATGGAGTTTCCTCAAAAATTTAAAAATGGAACTTCCATTTGACTCAATAATCCCACTTCTAGGAATATATCCCAAGAAACCAGAAACACCAATCAGAAAGGATATATGCACCCCTATGTTCATAGCAGCACAATTTACAATAGCTAAGATTTGGAAACAGCCTAAGTGCCCATCAGCAGATGAATGGATTAGAAAACTGTGGTACATCTACACAATGCAATATGACTCTGCTGTAAAAAAAGGAGGAACTCTTATCATTTGCAGCAGCATGAATGGCCCTGGAGAGCATTGAGCTAAGCAAAATAAGCCAGTCAGAGAAAGATAAATATCACATGATCTCACTCATTTGTGGAATATAATGAGCAACATAAACTGATGAACAAAAATAAAACCAGAGACATAGAAGTATGGAACAGACTGTCCAACCTATGAGGTAAGGGGGGGGGGGGGGGGGGGAGGGGCAGATAACCAATGGACACAGACAGTAGGGGAGAGAGGGCATGTGGTTGGGGGTGGGAGCCCCGGGAGAGGTCAATGGGGACGAGGGGGAAAGGAGACTCAGGTAATACTTTAAACAATAAAGAACTTAAATAAAGAAAAATAATCATCACTGGAATCTGTGAGGCGTACGGTACTTCTTTCTAAATGCCTGCCTCCTTTTGTATTCGTCATTTGGGGGGGAGGGTGTTCTCTTCCTTGGTCCTGGCTCTCGCGACAGCGCGAGGGAGCCAAGGCCCAGGGAGGCCTGTGGGTGAGGGGGCTGCCACCAGGTGCACAACGGGGGGAATTATACGCACTTCGCAGGGTTCCCGCGCGGCGCTGCTGATGACCAGGGACGCGAGCAGCCCGAGGGACAACCGCGCCGTTACTGCGCGCTCGCCTCGCGCACCCTCCCCCCAACACCTCGGAGCCCCGAGGATGCGGAAACTCGGGCGCGATTGGCCGGGCAAAAGCTCAGTTACCGTGTTTGAAAGGCCCAATCAGCGCCCAGCCTCTCCACGCTAGCCAATGGGAAACCGGAGGGGCGGGCCGGAAGGGCGGGGTCTCTATTTGAACCTGGACGCGGGGAAAGGCTCCCGGGACGATTTCCTGCAGGAATCCTGGTTTGGGTCTCCGTGCGCCATGGAGGTCGAGGTCTCAGGGGATGACGTGCTGATGCAGAAGCTCAAGAAAAGCCGCCACCGCTTCCAGAGGCACATGCAGCAGCTGCTGGAGAAGGTCGGTGCCCCACCGGCCCGCTGGGAGGGGCGCGGGGCTGGAGAAGTAGGGGAAGACAGGGTTGGGGGCTGGGGTGAGGAGGGAAGCAGCGGGGAGGGGACGTGGAGTTTGGGGCTGGGTGTTAGGGGAGGTAGGCGGGCTTTAGGGGCGGGGGACTAGGGGAGAGGAGGCGGGTTTTGGGAGCCGGGGGCTAGGGGCAAGGTGGGGGACTTTAAGAGCGGGGCCAGGGGAGAGGAGGTGGGCTTTAGGGGCCAGGGGTAGGGGGGAGAAGGCCGGTTTAGGGGTGCGGGCAGGCTTGGAGGTCCAGGGGCCGGGGAAGGAGTGGGGGGGGGGGGGCTCTCCTCCGCCCAGGTCAGGGGCTCCTGGCTCCCTGGAACCCGACGTGATGCCCCTTGCTCTCCTGCAGTACAACCAACCCTTCCAGGATGCCCCGGTGGTGCAAATGTCCACGCTGACCTACGAGACGCCCCAGGGTACGGAATCCCCGACCCCCCCTTCTCAATATTTACGGTTAGCTGTTTAATAGTTGGTGCAAACTTACTTTCCATGGGTTCTCTTTGGTAAATAGCTGAGAAAATTTGCACTGGGTGATGTCAGTTCCTCCCATTCAGCCTTACCAACTCGTTCTTACTAATGAAAGCCAGCCTCAGATCCAGTTCTGCCATGTGTTGGGTAAGTCAGGCGCAAAAAGGTTCACAAGACCTGCTCTTAAAGGAAGTCCCATCTCTTTACCTTCCCAGCCATACCTTGGGTGAAAGTTGGCACAAGCAGAGGTAAGGTATCCTGGGCAGGACACAGGGCTCTGTAGGAATCATTCCTACAGGCTTCAGTAAGAATGGGCCGTGCCTGGAATATTTTGCCAGTTCATGTATCTCCAATACCACTGATTTCACCAGCGAAAACTCATTTCCGATTCCCATTTTGATGAGAACAGCAGTTGAAGCACCTAAATACCTTGATAGCAGTCACACGTTAGCATGCAGAAGACCATCTGGAGAGCTTGTTAAAACGCTGATTCCTGGGGTTCCCGACACTAGGTAGAGATTTTCATTAACAACAAATATTTGTCTAATCTTGGTTTTAAAAAAAGAAAACCTTCAACTTCACAAAGATGAAGAGCAACAGAGGATCGGAAATATGGCTTGGTTTTATTTTAATATTATGCTTTTCTTTAGCCTGTCATTTGGTTTTCTTTGAGTGCAGATTAAACAGAAACTCCATGTTCAGAATTACTTAAGTGGTAATTTTATTTCATTTCTTTTCTCGAGGATTGAGAATTTGGGGTGGAAGACTAGAAAAGGAGAAAAGCAAAGGACAAATCCAGGTATTTAATGTCGCATGTTATTGCCACCGCCCCTGCCGTGGAGGGGTATTGATGCGAATAAAGGATGGGTGAGCTGTAACAGTACCAGCAGCCACCGCAGGGCCCTTCCATGGAAAATAGAAACCCTATTTTCCTGTTTTTAAGAACTTACTGAGAAGCATTTCTTCTGTTGCTTGTCAAGTTCAAGGAGGGCTTAAGCCCTTCTGTCCCCTGGTGTCTCCTCTACCATAGGCTGACACCTGGACCCCCACATGCACAGCTGGGCCAGCCGGAAAGACCTCTCCCAGCCCCACACGTCAGCCACAGTTGTGAGCTTGCTAGTTGGGTTCTTACAGAAAAGACCAAGTCCATGTCCTTCTAGGAAAGAAAAATGCCTCCTTGCTTCTTCTGAAAGGGGCGGAGAGAGAGTAGGGAGAGGATGCCGTGGGCAGCGTCACGATTCTTTCCTCCCACGTTGTGCCATCTTTCAAAGTCCAGCTGTGGTTGGTTTGTCTTCCCCGAGTTCATCCGTGGACACTGCAGCTCTGCCCACGCTATGTCCATGGAAAGTGCCAATTCAGCTGCCTTCCTGCTACTCAGTCTTCCACGATAGTAACATTTGCAAGGATGTCTGATGTTTCTTAATCACCGCTTCTCGGCTGAGGATCCTGTGCTCAGAATGAAAACCTTAGTGTTAGGTTTCCAAAGCCATTAACAGCAATTCAGAAGTCAGATTTCTCCCTGATTAATTACTTTAATAACACTCATAATACATTTAATTGTAGAACTGTTAGAAATACATATAACTGTGTACTTAAAATTGGCCTGATTTCTCTAGATAATACTTAAGTATAACATGATTCCTCTTTATAATACACATGTTTTTAAGTATACATATTTCTACCCCTTTTCCCCCCACTTAATATATATTGTGAACACTTCTGTTCCATTAAAACTGCTCTCTTGTCGATAGGTATTTTAGCTGTTCACACCTTCCTTTATTGCAAATCAGGATCAGCACACTTTAGGCTTTGCTAGACACGTGGTCTGTGTCACAGGTTCTCAGTTCTGTGTTGTAAGGGGCAGGCCGCCATGGAGGTCGACAGATATGTGCTTTTTAAATTATACATAATAATGATGCCTACCAATCAGACCAGTGGTTGGTGGTCCTGTTGGAAAAATGTTCTCATCTGGATATTTAAGGGTTTTGCTTAAAGTGTAGACATACCCCCCCACACACACACACCTGCCTGGGGTATACAGAATTTTAAACCCTTCCTGGAATTAGACAGCTGGCCATAGTCAGTGATGACAATTCAGATGTCTACAACCTAGAATTGCCATGGGCGATTGTGCCCAAATCTACCTTCTCCTTTCAAAGACACCCAAATTCTCAACCCCTGCCCACACGCCCTCCCTGAGATTGCTGCTTGGGGATGTGGGCTTGTTTACTTAGGCCAGTTGGGTCCTACCACAAGGCTTGGGTTCTCTTTGTAGACCCCAGAGCTGCCAGTAGATAGGATTTGGTGAGAATTGGCTACTTCCCCATAATTCTCAAACCAAGTTCTGCCACACCTCCAGACACAGCAGCCACAAATAACTCTGTCAAGTCCAGCAGGCAGGATTCTGTTACCCCGGCCCTTAGCAACGATGCCTCGGGGCTGTCCCTACAGGGCTGGGCCTCCCCACATCCTCACTCCTGATCTTGCAAGTCTTCACCTGGTTCTGCTCGCAGGGCCACTCCACCGGCTAAAGCTTGTAAAGGAGTTGTAGACCTCACAGCACCGCGGTCACACGAAGTCCCCCAGGGGCCTCTTGAACTTCTGTGTTCTTCCTGACGACGTAGTGACAGTGCTGTCCTGTTTCGTGTTGTTTTTTCATTTGCTGCCATACGAGGGCCAGGTCAGGCCCTTTCGCTTGGGCCTTGGCTTCTCGCTTTGCCTGCTCCGTCCCTCACCATCCAAGTGGCTTTTGAAGTAGCTGCCATGGGCACAGCTAGAGAAAGAAAGCTTGTTTCCTTTCTAAGGGGAACCTTGACCACCTACTAGAAGTGTTGTGGCCTTTGATCCCAGAATGTGCTGGAAGAGAAACTTTGTGAAACCCCCTGTTCTCCCATATGTGAATGGAAGGGCTGGAGGCTTGTTACTTTACAGTGGCTTTGAAATGTCTTATGACTGAAACGAACATGTCTTTAACTTTCTGAACTTTGAGGGCTCCCCGGAGCACATAGTCGGCAGGAAAGATGGCACCGTGCAAGCCACAGCTGGAGGTGACGAGCTGCCCGTGCCCTACACACAGGACCTGGGAGAGGGTGAGTGTGCCCTGGGCTAGAACCTGAGGTCTCGAGGGGCTGGGCCTGACATGTCCCTGTTACAGCATTTAAACTCTAGATTCCTCACTGTGGCTTTTTCTAAGGTCTATTTTAAAAGGTAGAACATCTTGAAGTGTCCTGTTATTTCCTCCCTAGCTCCCCATAGGAGCTGCCTTGCACTGTGCTACTTGACACATAAACAGTACTCAAATATTCTAAAATAATGAACACATGCCCCTCATCCCCACCTCATTTTTTTAACTTTTTACAAAAAAATTAATGTCAAGAATTTAATAAGACCTAAGGTCTGCCCTTAAGTGGTATGAACTGCTAACTTCCACAAACTTTCCACTGGCAAGAGGGACTTGGCTTCTAGGATCAGCAGGCATTGAGAGAGCTAGAAATGCTATAAAAGCTGCTTTTCCCTGTCTCCACCGCTCCAGGCAGCCCCTGTTCTGGTGGGGTCTCTGCATTACTGATTCTCAGGAACCGTGGCAGATGGCTGCATCCCAACTAGAGGAACACGCTTGAAGCTATTGGAATTTTTACCGTAGAACATGCTCAAGTGATACAAAAACCATCCTTGAAAAAAAAATACAAGCTTTCTTAAAAATTCTGGTTGAAATTTCCTTTTTTTTTTGCTTTTAGATTCAAAAAGCAGTGATGTTGATGCAACTTTATACCAGGAAGATCTGGCTGCTGGGGCCTTAATGGTAAGATCCGCCTTTTGTAATGAAGAGACAGAGTCAGGGTTTGGGGTGCAAGTGCAACACCCTCTTACCTGTACTTTCCTCTTCTGAGGCTTGCTCTTTACTAATCTCACCCTTTATGTCTTTCGTCCCCCTTTCAGTTCCCCTAGGCAGCAAATCTATCACTTGACAGCCATCACTAAACCAAGTTCAAGTTCAAGTCTGATTTACTGAATGTACATAGATGTTGGGTGTTGTTCCCTCTGCACACAGAGAAATTACAGCCGTGGTTCACACTATGTCATTTGCCTTGATTGAACATGCAATACTGAAAGTTGTGTCCTAAGTAGTTCTACCTCCGTAGAGGCAATGTCATAGGATGGTGTTCTAGGGAATATTTCTAGGTGAGCCCTTAAAGCCCATTGAGTCATGAGGTCACATACTCCGGCAGGCCCTTGTTTTGTGTCTGTCTCCCAGCATGCCCCAGTGGTCCTGGAAGCCACCGTCTCCTTATAGGATCTGCTTCTCACCTTCCCACTTAGTTGGGATAGACGAGAATACACACAGAATATGGAGCATATTCCCTGGCCCGGGTCAGATGCTAACGTTGCAGGCACGTGAAATCGCTGAAATCGCTCTTTTTTTTTCCTCTGAAATTGCTCTTTTTGTGCATAGATTTGCTCATACACCCATGTGTGGCTTTGATCGTCTAATTAGAATAAGGTGATGACCCCGAGGAGGGAAGCGCGGTGCTTAGTGAATATAGTGGAGGGGTGGCAGCAGTGACGGGAAGTAGGCAGCCCCACAGTAGGGACACTGAGTAATGCGTGTCTGTGTTACCCACATCTGCGTCCCCAGTCCCGTCCTCACCCCACTCAGCCACAGAGAGAGGAGATTGAGACCCACTGTCTTCAGTGTGAGACAGGTGAGAGGCTACCATTCCTGCCTCCTGGGTTGGAACACTGAACTTCTTTTCTTATAAAACATACAGATCGGGGTCGGTTTCAGTAGCTGAATCCTGAACTCACCTAAGAATATTCAGATTGTTTTTACTTACTTTTCTTTCTGCTCTAGTAATGCTGTCATAAACCCCTGCATGTTTTATCTTCTAACTTTTGGGTTGTTCCACTGGTAAATTCCCTAAGGTCGGATCCCTGGTCAGGTGGATTTCCAGAGGGGCTGGACCCCTTTGTCCTGGTACCAGCAGGAAGTAGAAAGATGACTTTGAGGAACTTCATTTAAAGATTTGCGCATTAATGAGTTGGCCAGTTTGTTTCAGAATCCAAGAGCTCATCCATCCCCAAAATCTCTTAAGAATGCTGACTTCTCTTTTTTTACCAGCCTGCAGTGCCTTGGAGCCCTTTGAAAGATGAGTTAAGAAGGAAATACTTGACCCAAGTGGACATACTGCTACAAGATAAAGGATGTGCAGAGGTAAATGCATTCCCCAGTATGTATCTCTGTAATTGATCACAGACTAGAGACGTATTGAGGGATAGTGTAGGCTTGTGTTCTCTCTACGGAGCCTGTAAAGAGCATTTTGAGTGATTATTTCCAAGCCCTTTCGTTCACAAGCTTGCAGACTTCTTCTCTTGAGTAAACGCTTGGGGTCCTCTAGGGCATGTGGTCAGGGAAGCTTGCAGGTGTGCCCTTTGTTGCCCACTGTGTCCTGGGGTGGCTCAGAAATCCAGTAGGGCCCTATCCTTGAGTGAACAGGTTCTAAGCCCTGTGAGAGGTGGCCCCCGTCCCAGGGTTGGTGCCCCCTGAGTTCTATTGTAGCCCATTTCCTGAGCTTTGCCTGGGAAGAGCAAAAATGCTGAAGGTACAGGTCCATGTAAGGATGCCAGCTCTGTAGTTTCCCGAGCCCTGTCAATATCTTTTCATAAAATAAAGGACTTTTGTTTTAATCCATACCTGAAGATACGTTTATTGATTTTGAAAGAGAGAGGGAGAGAGAGAGTGTGAAACATTGATCGGTTGCCTCCCATCTGAGCCCCGAACAGGGATCGAACCCGTGGCCTTTTGATGTATGGGATAACGCTCCAACCAACTGAGCCACCGGCCAGGGCATAAAAAGGACATTTTAATACCAATATTACTTACATGTGTAGAATAAATTCTTCACCTCAAAGGCAGCAAACTTAGCAGGAACATGTATATTTTCTTCATGTGCTTGCTAACCAGAGAAAACCTGTGTCTGGGGGCACTGAATTAGAGGGTGCACCGGAAATGCCTTTGCCTTTATCCTAAAGTGGCAGCAGGTGGGGTCCTGGCAGGTGGTGGCCTCTCCAGGGTATCCTAGAGGCCACCTGGACAAAGTCCCTGGTTTTACTAAGACACTTCTTCCCACCACTGCTGTAAGCCCAAGTGGCTACTGTCATCCTGGCACACACCTGTCACTGCTGCTGCCAGGCTCAGGTGTACAGTCTCCTCACATCCAGTGGTCCTGGTGTTGGGGGGAACCATCTTAGTGGGCCCAGACCCGACATCTGACAACTCCTTTGTTAAAAATCACGCTTTGATTTCAGTATGATCATGGAGACGGAAACGACACATGTGTGACCCTGGTCCCTTCGCTGGCCTCGCCTCCCAGGCCTGCCCATGGTGAGTGACAAACTGCATGAACCGTGTCCCGGGCACTGTTGGTAGAGCCACACAGCCCCTTACGCTGGGCATATCCCCGTCCACTGTGCGGGGTTCATCAACAAAAACTGTTAGAGACCCCTGCACTTCATAGGGAGATGAAGAGTTTAAAATGAACTGCTTTTTCCCTCTGCGACTCTGTCGTGCTGATTGCTGATTAGCTCTTTATCTCAACTTACTATTTTGAAATTTTTTGAATCTCCGGAAAAGTAGGACTCATTCGTAAACATCCTTCTCCTGTGTTTAGCAATCAACTTTTGTCACATGTCAGTTTTTTGGGGTCACATTTGTCTAGTCACACACACACACACACACACACACACACACACACACACACGGTATATGTTCATTTGCATCCATATATATCATCCCTGAATGCTTCACAGTGCCTCCTAAAAGCAGGTAATTCTACGTAAAGCAGCAAACTGGGCACAAGCCAGCAATGGAACAGTGACACAGGGCGGTTTCACCCATTGTGGCCGTGGTGTCCGGCTGAGGGAGCATGCAGGACACTGTGTGCAAAGTTGTTTGGATTCTGTTTTCTCTTTCGTTATCAGTTTGATATCAGTTTGATAGTTATGGTCATTTTTCTGTCTGTATTTAATTCAGAGTGATCCCCATCTTTGTTGGTTTAAATTTATTTAATATATAAAACATGTAACATTGTGCAAAAGTCAGAGCTGTCTGAACAGCTGTATTCAGGACTCTCATTTCTTCTGCCCTCCCTGTAGGCAAACTGTCACTATTTTTTCGTTCCCAGTTAGTCTTTGAAAAGGCAACCATGTTCCTAAAACTGTCCCCTGGGGAAAGGAGACTCTTTTTGGGAAGGTTGGTGGAACGTAGAAATTTCATTTTCGTAGGTAGAAAGAAGAGTCTATTCCCAAATATGTGTAATATTTCTTTTGTTTTTGTATTGCTTTATTAAAAAAACCATTATGGTCATGATCCAGCCTTCCGTTCCATGATCTCTGCATACAGATTGTTTGAAGTGGTAACGTACACACATTTACCTGCGTGCTTTTCTCCAGGATACTGTGGCCATGTCTCTGAAGACAGTCCTTTTGAGCCAGCTGCATCTTCACGCCTTTGCTCCCCAGACACGGTCATAGTGCCCAGAAATGACAGTGTCTCATTGCAAGAGACCAGTGGTCACAGCTTCTTGAGCAGCCAGTCCTTTGTGGCTGGTGACATTTGCAACGTGACCATCAGTGACCTGTATGCGGGCATGCTGCACTCGATGAGCCGGCTGCTCAGCTCAAAGCCCTCGTGCGTCATCTCCACCAAAACCTTCATTGTTCGAAACTGGGGCTCTCGGAGGAGACACGGGTGCAAGAGCAGAATGAACAGAACATATTGCAGAGGCGGCAGGCACGCACGGAGGGACTCCCAGGAGACACTCGTGCCCTGCTCTGAGCCTGTGAAAGAGGTGGGGGTTTTAAGAGAGAGCCAGAACTTCCGAGATCTTTCTGGCCAGAAGGCAGGATTGAAATTGGAAAAAGCTTTTCCTGAAGTAAACAAACTCCAAATCTCAAAGGAGCTTAAGGGAACACCCCGGAAGTTGTCTTCATTAACTTATGTGGACTCTAGTGTAACACATCGTCTTGATCGGGAAAATAGATTAATGACATTAAAGTGGTTAATTTCTCCTGTAAAAGTAGTTTCCAGATCAAGAACGCTGCAGGGCCAGGGAGGGAATCATTACAGGGCGTTCGATAGCAAATTTAAGAAACTTCACCAGGAATATTGCCAAAGCCCCAGGAAGCAGCTAGGCCTGACCTACCTCCCCAGCTCCTCCTTTGGGGTCGATGTGCTCAGAAGTGGTCTAGCAAGCCCCAGGAGCCCCCAGGGCTTAGAAACCCACCGGCCAAGTAGACCTCTCAGCAAAGCAAAAGTGAAGAGTCTAAATGAGGCTTTTAAAAACCTGGGCAAACAGGCTATTGACACAGGAAGATGCCTGCCCCAAAGTGATTCATCTGCATCATTTTCCAAGACCGACCCCACATGGAGCCCAGGCTGCTCTGACCCCCCAGCTGATCTTTTCCGAGAAAATCCTCTTGGAATACTTAGGGAGTCAGTGGCACTCAGCAAAGCTATTTCAGTGCCCGGGGTACATCCTCTAGGCTCTGCAAGAGATCGTTACGATGGAATCAAGGAGAAATTTGACCAGCTGCATCAGCAGTATTGCCAAAAATCACCTCAGCGGGCGAAGGTGCCTTCTTGTGCCGAAGCATCTCCAGATGAAGCAAGTGTGAAAGTTCAGAATCAGACAGAAGCCTTCTTTAAAAAATTAGATCCAGACTCTGGCTTACTGGGACCCCGAAAATTGTCACCGTCACTGCAGCGGAGCATCAGAAGTTCACGGGACTCGACCACAGTTGAGCTCCATCCATCTCCGTGGTTCGAGCTGGCCGCCAGCTGTGGGCCTCAGCCCCACGCGAAAAGACGCCGCTTATCAGACCCTCAGGTGTGTGGAAGGTGGGCAGAGTCCCAGGATCCCTCTCGCATGGTGGACCCGGCCATCCCGAGGCCAGGGGAAGAGGTCTGCTCTTCCCCCGACTGGAAAGGGAAGGTGAGTTTTTGTCAAATGTGGCTGTTTGATAACAGTATTCTTCTGTGCATGTTCATTTTCTAAACTTTCTCCCAAATTCTGTTTCTTCACATCAAGCACATGTTCATGGTAAGATGTGCCAAGGTGGAGCTGAAAAGCATTCTTACCGAGAAAGTTCTACACGATTCCCAGCGGAATGCATCACTTTGCATGCTCTATCCGTCCTTGTCCAACCGTGTCATTTCCACCCTCTCTGTCTTACACTCAGAGAAGAGCTGTTGTAAGGAGAAATTGGTCCGGAAACCATGGCGTTGTTTTGCTTCTGGATTTCCTAGTAGGAGGAGGAGCAGGCCCTTGAGAGCCGCCAGTGCGGAATCTCACACGTGCTGGGCTGCGAGAGGGCAGCCAGTAACCTCAGTGCCCTCCCGCCTCCGGCAGTGTCGTTTGTGCAGACCACTTAGCTAAAGTTTAATGTGCTGCACCATTTTATTTTCTCCAGAGACAAGATGAGGGGGTGGGACAAGTCCCTGTGTCGTTGAGTGTTATCACAGGAGGGCCAGGTTTCCCAGCGTGCCGCGCAGTGTGCCGGGGTTTGGACCATGTTACTGTCCCTGCCCGTCACTGCGGCCAGCTGATGGGACTTGACTCTTGGCTTGGCGGTTTGGGATTTTGTGTGTTAGTGGTGCGGGCAGGTCAGGCGTATATAAAAGCTTCCTCTTCCCTTCCTACCCCAACCCATAGAGGGCCTATCAGCGGTCATTCAGATGGACCCTCTCTGCCCTAAATATGCTGTTTTCTGTTTTCCCATCTCTGCCTGTTTGCCCTATGACCTCTTTTCAGAGGACAGTGTGTTTCCTCTCGGGATGAACCCCTCCACCTGATTTGTCACCGTCTGCCACGCCTCAGACCGCCCTCCCTCCCCCCAGGCCTGTCCCTACCTTTGCCCATTAGTGCTTCTCAGTGTTCAGACCCCTGTGGCTCCCCTTCTCGAAAAATATTTCAAAACCCTACAGTGCTCTGACTACCTGTGGGACGGCGCTGTGGATGCAGAAATGACCGCCCCTCCCTGAATGAGCCCCAGAGGCCTTAAGCTCGGAATCCCCAGGCCCACTTGACTTTTTCGGATCCGGCCACCAGCAGCGTGACTGAGTCCTCTGAGGCTGAGGCTTTCAGTGTCCAGCCATGTGCTCCTGGCAGACTCCTTCTTCCCCTAAATTACAAATTTCTTGAGGAAAAGGACCAAATCTCCGTGAGCTGAGGATACAGAAGGAATTGTAATGGCTGACGCCTGAATGCTCTCTGTTCGCCAGGCCACGGTGAACCTTTTCATGCCATCCTCAGCCCCCACGAACCTTTCGATTAGATAGGTCTGTCTTTTCTTTTAGTAAATAGGGGGTTCAGCTTCAGTCTTATAACTGCTGGACCCGCATTTGACAGCAAGACTGTCAACTTAACCACCTGTTTGCATTCTGCCTCAGGGCTTAATGTTAGTTTTTGTTAGTTGTTGTTTCGGGAGGTTTGTTTGTTTTTCTTTACATTCCTTAGGGCAGCGATTGCCAACCTTTCGGACCTAATTGACCACCAGTGCTCCGCGAACCACTGGTTGGCTACCGCTGCCTTAGGGTATTTATTGAGCATTTTGGCATTTTCTATAATGGACACACTAATATTTATATATATAGACGTTGAAATAAATAAGCTTTTAGTGACTGGCTTTGAAAATGCTAGTGGAATATTACTGAGATCGTTTTGTCTTTTTTTTTTTTTCCTAGAGGAAAGAGCACATCTTTCAGGATGGAAGATAAGTGATTTTGTGTTAGAAAACTCGAAGCTAAAAATCTACAATCAAGTTTTTTAGGGCATTGTCCCACTGCCCCTTTATTCTGTTTGTGTTTGTGCGTGTTTTTTTTAATTCTCAAGACTTAGAAATTGCTTCAGTTATCTCCCCTTCAAAGCAGATTTCAATGAAATTGGTTTCATTGACATGACTGACAGGTTCTTGGTATAGAAATTATTGGAATAAGGTTGCTCAATGAAAAGTATTAATGGTATCCTTTTGGGGCTATTTTGCTCATGTTTTCTTTGCTAAATTTGGATGTGCCAACATCTCTTATACTTCCCATTTCCTGGGAGAAATTGTTTGCTTTGAAATACAAGTTTAAGCTCTGGGTACTGTGATCTCTGAAGGAAAATTCAGCTGCGTAGTTTTTAAAATTCGGACCTGAGACTTGGCACCTTCCACGTGAGGAGGCAGCACATTGGAGCACAGTCACCCAGACAAAGTCATTTTCTGTGTTTTTAGAGGAAAGCATGCTGTAGTGAAGCATTCTTGTGATGTTCCCCAAGTATTCTTGTAGCCACATGGTAGCCATGACATCTGACTCTTATCGGAGCGGTTGATAGCGGTTGATAACAGAATGTCTTCGTTAATAAAATATTTCAAGTATTCAGAACACAGTGACCAAACCCAGGTTGAGTAATTGTTATGCTGCCATGTGCTATGGATTTCTTATTTTAAATAAAATATTACAGATAAGATTAGATGTCTTCCCTAGGCTGTCACTGTCCTCATAATAATGTGTACCCTTTTCCCCCCACATCTGTGCCCTGGGACCTCATGACCTATGTGTATTAGCTCAGGCCGCATCACAAAGTACTACAGCTGGGTGGTTTAAACAACAGAAATTTATTTCCTGGTTCTCAGGCTGGACGTCAGAGGTCCAGGTGCCAGCATGGGCTCCAATAAGGACCCTTCCTGGATTGCAGGCGGCGCCTCCTCACCGTGTCCTCACATGGCAGACAGAGCGGGTGCTGTCATAAAGGCACTAATCCCATCATCAAGGCCCCATCTCGGGCGCTCGCACTGAGGTTAGGGTTTCCATGTGTGAAGTTGGGGAGACATGTTCAGTCCAGAGCCCTGTGAATCAGTAAGGAGGACTAGCAGGGGGTGCTGACTGGCTCAGACAAGGCTGGAGTGGCCCCTGCAGTTCTAGACCTTTCTTCCTTACCAGGAAAACTATCATTCTTGCCCCAATCTGCTCGTGCCTTGGCTCACCCCAACCAGTGGGCCTGTGCTGAGGTCTCTGGCCAGGCCTCGCTGCTAGAGAGCCTAGAAATTCAGGGTTTGATGTCCTATTATCTAGCAGAGGGAGGTAAGGCAAAAGGGACTGGGCTTGCATCTCAGCCAATTTACAGCTCTGCCAATAACGGACCCATGAACTGTACAGAATGGTGCCCTCTAATGCAGCAGTCGCCAACCTGTGGTCCGTGAGGTCCGAAAGGTTGGCGACCGCTGCTCTAATGTGTGTCACATTTGGCTGGTAGATGCCTTCTTTCCCTATAAGAGTGGGGGCCCTGGGGCAGGGCCTGCACAGTAACCCGGCTCTCTGCCTGGCACAGCCATGGGCAGTGGACACCATCAGCATGGATGGGACCTAAATGCCAGTGAAGACAAAGGTGGATTCTGATGCTTGGGGCTGCTGTTCTCTACAGTTTCTTGCTAGAAACAATGACCTCTCCCTTTGCCCTGCTGTCCTGACTCTGGGATATCGTCACCTTACAGCCAAGAGTCTGCATCCACGTGGCAATGGAGGTTTATTTCAGTGGAAAGGAGGGGACACTGATTATCTCAGAACAATGCTTTCCTTACAAACTAAATTCAAAGTGGTCTGCATTGCTATGGGCAGGGTGGGCAGTTTGCATTTCACATTCGGGCCACCTAGGAGATTCCTTTGGGGGAAGCCAAAAGCTGGTGCCGACTGCAGGTATCCAAGATTTTGAGAGTCTCCAGGGCTGCCCTCTGCACCCCAGGATCTGTGTCCAACTGTAGCTCCTGGAGGGCTGAGAGCACAAATGGGAGGGTCAGGACCTGGCAGTTGGGCTGCGCCCCCTGCCCTCTGCTCTTGCCCACAGGCAGGTGGAGCTGTCTTCACACACATCAGCCATCTCTCAGGGCTTCCCTTCTCTAAGGGACAGTGGGATCCCCAGAACCCCAATTGCCGCCTGGATCAGGGCGGAAGCATTTTACTAATGTTTGTGAAGGGGGAGGGGGCAGAAGCCCAGAACAATTGTGCCCCCTCCTCCTCCCAACACCACCCCTCAAAGAGTTGTCTTCCTTGGAAAGCCCTCCATAGGGCCATCCATCTCTCTGTGCCTGGTTACAACCCCCAACCCCCACAAAGCCCACAACCAAGGGTCAGCAAGCTGCTCCCTCAGCACTTCACTAAGCTCCCCACCTACAGTTGAGTCTCCACGACTTACAGTTCCGTAATGCCACAAAGTCCAGCTTTTTCAGATAATGTTCAGACATCTGCTTCATAATAACCCCTAAGTGATAGCCAGAGAAGTGCTCATCACATAGGTATTAGGTGAGTGAGAGGCCTGGCTTTACCTGACCAGGTGTCTGAGGAGTTTGTTGAGGACACCTGAGAATCAGGCATGTAGGCAGCAAGGTGAGACAGGAGCTCTGGACCTGACACCTGTCCCCATCCCCTCCAGACCCAGGACTGACCCCATGGCCTTCAAGGTCCCTCCTGCATCAGGAGACATCTGCCCGCTCACCTGCCAAGTTGCAGGAAGCGATTCTGATCCTTGACAAGTTACTTTTAATGTAGGGCATGGTTTCTAGCAAGAAACTGTAGAGAACAGCGGGCTTTTTCTGAGTCTGCAAAAAAACAAGCGATACACGGAGCTGGGGCGGTTGCGGTCCCGGATGGGAATACAAAGTGTATTGCCATCTGTCTGATGCAGGAGGGTCTGCCAAGGGGGCGAGTGACTCCGGGGTCACACAGCAAATTGTCACTCTCTCTTAAGGGTGATTTTTCAAGGAAAAGAAGGTGTTTTATCTCCTAAGTTGCAGCCTCTGCTGCATTAAACAGTGCCATTGGGGTGTGGACTCCTGGGATGATTTACTAAGTGACTTCCTCCGTTCTCAAAGTGCCCATTATTCATATCCTTCCTCTGCCAAAGTCCCCATCATTGGACACTACAGACCTTCAGAGGAAACCAGGAAGGTTATCAACCCAAGTTATCAACCTGCTCTGAGTTAACAGCAATGTGTTCCATTATCCATTCTGCAGAAAACTCCTGGAGGGTGAAGCCTGTCGGATTGGCTTTGGCCTGTCTGGCCCAGGGAAGAGATTATATTCGTCCAAAACCCATGCTGTCCAATACAGTTGCCAGTGGCCATGTGTGGCCCTTAAGCACGTGAAAGATGGCTAGCCTGAATTAATAATTTTTACATTGATTACATGTTGAAACAATAAAGACTTGGAGCTATTGGGTTAAATAAAATCTATGATTAAATTTGGTTTCGTCCCCCTCCCCCTTTTTTTAAATCGTAAGTATTACATATGTTTTCTTTTTTCCCCCCATTGACCCCCTCCAGCCTGCCCCTGCCCTGCCCCCCGCCCCACACCTTCACCACCCTATTGTCTTTTCCCTTTTCTTAACATGGCTATTAGGAAACTTAAAAATGGGCATGTGGCTTGCATTCATTTCTGCAGGACAGTGCTGGTCTCGACACTTCACCTCTAGGAGGTGAACACAGGGTCACGAGGTCAACTCTGGCAGTTGAGACCCTAAGCCACTGAGCAGCCACTGCCAACAGGTGAGCCCCCCCCTTAGCCTCCTCACCAGGACAGAGCACAGCGTCGTCTGGAAAGTGGCCATCTCATCAGCCCCCCTGGTGTCTCTTTGCCCCGAGGAGTCCACCAGGCCCTTGCAGCCCCAGAAGTGCACACACTGATACATGGTCTCCACACAGGCCTGGAGGGACACAGAGCAGGGTGGCAGGAGGCGCGTCAGGCGGACCGAGGGCTTCACAGGAGCTGTGGGGCTGGTCGGGCTGTGTTCCATCAATAGAGCCAGAGGGTATCCCTGGAAAAGCTTCAGGAAGCTGAAGGGTGGGCTGGTGGGCCCTGGGAGGGCACCTGGGACCAGAGCCCCGCCAGCCTGGGTAATGGGTGTGTGTGCATTTATAAAAAGCCCTTTGGGGGCCAAGGCAGCCCACTTGCCCTCAGCAGCCCTGCCTGGGACCTCCCCTTTTAGGAGATTGGGTTGGGGGCCTGGCTGGGGTTGGCAGGACGGGGGCAAGCCTTCTCATTCCCCCAGATGCCCTGCACCAGCTCTTCCTGCTTCTGAGGACTGCACCAGCCAGACCCGCAGGCTCTGGCCTCTGGTGGGTTAGGTCATAGGAGGATGCTGACGGGAGACCGAGGGCAGGAGGAGAGAGACGCATCTATTGCCCAGGGATAGCAGTGGCAGCAGCTCTGCTGGGGCTAGCCTCTGGCACTTCCCATGCATGCTGGTCCCCTGGCCTGTCCTCTTTGAGGCTCCTTCATTAAAGCCCCTCGGTCACTTGTCTGCTGTGCCTTCCCTGAAGCACCGGCCCACAGGACAGTTGCTGAGAAGACGTGGAATAACAGTGGGAGCCCTTGATGGAGGTGAGGATTAGTGAAGAAAGAAGTCTCCAAGAGGTGATGCTCTGTGCCCTGGGTCACCAGGGTGCCCAAGGCAGAGCCCAGGCAGGGAGGCAGGATGAGGGCAAAGTCCCGAGTCAGGGGGCACTGCAGGCCTCCCCTCACATCCCTGTGGATGCCACCCGGACCACCCCCACCCCACGTGCAAATTGGCAGGCCTCGCAGCAGCAGGATTGAGGGGACTTACCTTGTGACCCCAGAACTGGGAACTAAGGTGCTAGTTAAAAATTGAGCTATTGAGGACCCCTTGTTTGCAGCCAGCTATATCCCCACAACTGTGTCTTTGTCACTTGTTTTTTGCAGAACGGCCCCTGATCTCAGCCACCTCTCCACCACCTCCCCTTCTATAGGAAGACAGAGGACAGGGTCATGGTCCGTGTGTGTGGTGAGAGGTTCCCTACCTGTGTGTCCCCAGCCAGCCAGTGTTGCCTGTAAGGCAGCAGTTAGAGTAGGAGGCAGGGTCTCTCCCCTTCCCTCCACCCACTCAAAGCATTACAGGAGCTGGGACTTGGAGAGGGAGGAGAAACAGGGTCACAGAGCCAGAGAGAGCCCCTCACCCTCACCCCACAAGCCTGCCCTGCAGGGAGCAGGTGAGGTTTAAGGTGAGTTTTAACCATGCCTGGACCATAACACCCCAAAGTGAATCTGGTAGAAGAAAGGGCAATAGGTGGAAGTGACAGGGGAAGAAGGAAACTCAGCCCCCGCAGAAAGCCAGTTTGCGGGGCACCTTGAATGTGGTTTCTGGGCTCTCCGGGAGTCTGGAGCGGGGAGCCTGCAGGCAGCTCAGCCAGCGGGCCCAGAAAACACTTTCCTCTCGGGGACAGCAGGCCCCAGACTTTGGAACGCAGAGCCGAGGGTGCCTTACCTGGGCTGCGTCGGGGCAGGGGTCCTGGCAGTGCAGCATGAGCGGGACCCAGGCTCTCTTCACCTCCCCCTTGAAGAAGTGCTTCTTGGAAACCCTGACCACCTTGGCCAGCTTGCTGAACAGGAGGAAGGCTTTCAGGCGCAGCAGCTCGCTCTCCTGTGGCCAAGACGGACAAAGCAGTTTTGAGACTCCGGGAACTAGAAGCCCAACAAAACTGCAGCCATTCTCCACGGACCGTTTTGGATGTCTTGACCCCTGTGAAGCCTTCTGGATCATTCCATCAGGACGGAGTCTCTCCTCCAGGGCTCCGTGACTGGGCATAACTCAGGTGTTTGTGACCTTCGCTTCCTAGAGGAGGGCTGTGTTGAATCTGCAGGCACACTGCCTAGCAGAGGCCCCATTCGGCATGTCACAGGTGGCCAAAGAGCATTTGTGAGTGGCCAGGAATTGGAAGGGAAAGCTCAATCCTTAATAGGGAGAAGAGTCCCCTGGGCCCCAGAAGAAGATTATTTTTTACAAGATCCAAGCTCAGCCAACTGATCCATTAGCGCCAAGTGAGACCTGCTGTCCTTTCTGCTCACCTGGTTGAGCACCTGCGCAGCCCCCACCCAGGGCCTGGGCCCAGCGAGGCTCTCGTCTGGACTCACGTTGTCAAAGAAGGACCTGCACTGCTCAGAGATGGCATTGAAGAAGGACCCTATGTCCCCTTCCCGGAGCTCGGCCAGGATCTTGGTCAGGGCCTCCATGCCCTCAGAGGGCACGCTGGTGCTGCGGGCATCCCTCAGGGCGTACAGGCACTTCTCCAGGAGCAGCTTGCGGTACTGCCTCACCTGGGGTGTGGGGGGCAGGGAACCTTCAGCTCTGACCCTCAGCCCACTGGGTCCTGCACCCTGGGCCCCCGGGTCAAGGTCGGATGCAGCACCTTCTTGGGGGCGCCCAGGGCCATGTTGCCGAGGGCACGCAGGGACAGCACCTGCAGGACCTCCTCCCTCTGGTCCACGCCCTTCTCTAGCAGCCGTATGGCGGGCTTCAGCAGCCTCTCCTGGTACAGAATTGGGTCGCTCATGAACTAGAAAGGAAAACTTTTTGCAGTTATCCCCAACACAGGCCCGTTTCTGTCATGAGACGGGGCGTGTGACTATATTCAGCGCAGAGAATGGTCTCCCTGTGAATCGGAGGAGAGGCAGAGCCTGAACCCCTGGAGCCCGCCCCTGGCTCCTCTGCCTGCCACTGTGGGGCCCTGGCAGGCCACGCTGCTTCCTCATCTGTAAAAAGATGGTGAGACCAGCACCTGCCTCGTGAGGTTGCCGTGAGGATTCAGTAAGGAAATAGGTGGGAAACTCTGGGCAAGTGTTACCCATATTCACACACGCCTTCGTCATTCATTTCTTCAGTGAATGTGGTGGAGCAGCTACCCCGTGCAGGAGCCGCGTCCATTGTGTCCGAACAGACCCACACAAGAAGCATGCATTTCCCTCATCTGGGATTCAGCACCACCATCAGCCTCATTCTCAAAATGCCAGGACATCAATCCCGCGGGGACCCCTGTGGCATGTGTGTGTACGCATGTGCATGTGTGTGTCTGTGTGTGCATGCGCACACATGAATGTTTTTTAAATAAACCAAAAGAAAACTAAACACCAAATTGGTGACACTAAAATTGAAACTTCACTACCCGGTCCTTTACAGGAAAAGTCTGGGGACCCCGCACTAGGCCGATGTTTGGTTCCTGTGGTATATGGGGCATCGTTCAGCCAATAGAATTTCTCCTCAAAAGTTTTCTGGACAATTCCCTGGATCAATTTCCAGAAACTTCTCTTCCCCACCAGGAAGGGACAACAAGGGCTTATCAGTAAGGATGACCCCATAAGCACCCCATGTGCATGGGAGGGTAGCTGGGCCCCAGTGGCCCTAACCCCTTGCTCCAATCTTCCTGGCTGGCTAAGCCCTCCTGCAAGACCCTCCCCAGCACTTCCATCTCTCCAAGAGCCCAAGGTGGCCTCCTCCGGCCACCTGTGTGTTGTGACACTCACCACAGCACACATCACTCGGCTGCTACCCTCAGGGCAAAGACCACGTCTCAGCCCCTTTCCCCACAGTGCCCACCCTGAATTACTGTTGTGATGAAGGAATGAATGAATGAATGCTCACCTGCCCCCTGGACTAGATGCCCCTCGTAGCCTGGGCACCTGCCCCTGAGATGAGACCCCCAAGAGAGCTGAGGGTTGCCCACCTCTCCTCCCCAGCCCACCGCACCCACCCCTGTGCCTCACTTCCACGCAGATCGCTGTGCTGCTGACACGGCAGCTGAGGACCTCCGAGGCCATGCCCCTGAGCACCAGCTCCGACAGCCTCTGCCTGTAGCCCTCCGCATTCTGAATGCACAGCCTGTGGAGGGGAGCACAGCCCACCGGTCAGGGCGGGCATCTCAGCTCCCCTGGTGCAGAGCAGCTCTCGAGCTGGGTACGCATGGGCAGATCTAACATTTCTTGCCCCCCCCCCTCCTCCTCTCCACTGAAGTACTTGCTTTCCATCACCTTTTTATAAAAAGGACTCAAACGAGGGCTGCTCATGAGTGATCGGGACCTGGATTCCCCCATCCTGGACCTTCTCAGAAGCCCTGTGTGGCCTTGGTCAAGCTCCACCCATCTCTGACCTCACATTTCCTGCCCTGGGGCATGAAGGTTTGGAAGGAAAGATTCCCTTTGCCCTGCATCCCAAAGTGTGGGACACAGGTCAACACAATGCAAGTTCTTCCACCTGCCACATGGGAGCCTGGGTGCCCACCTGGCCAGCAGGCCTGCTCCTTGCAGGAAAGTGGAGCCGCTCTCCAGGAGGGCCCACACGCCCTGCTCTTCCAGCATGTGGACCAGCCGCTCACTGTCGAGTCTCTTGAACAAAAGCTGCATGGATTTGATTGTGATCCTGGAAGAAGGTGGGACCGTGTCATGGCATGGCAGCC